CAAAACCAATGTAAGGGCACAAGCAACCTATTAGCTTGCTTGATGTTCAAGCCTATTAGCCGACCTTGCATTGGACCCATCTGACACAGGCGACCTACTAGCTTGGCTGATGATCGGATGGGAGATAATGTTAATTTCCAATATTTTTATTAATATTAAAGGATCCGCGACCTGACCACAAGATTGCAAAGTCATGGGAACAGAATCGTTCTCATGAGAAAATATATCTCCACAAGCCGAAATTTATAAACTGTGAAACTAACAATGGGGGGACTGTTTATGATGGGGTTAACAGAGGGGCAATAACTAGTAATAATTCCGGTTTACCAAAGAAAGTTGAGGTAAAAACGCACATCTTTATAATGATAAGTTTAAGCTATGAAATCTTTTATAATCACGACTATATTGCTCTTCATTGTATCCCTTAGAAAAGAAGATCTCCTTTTGGAATGGAGCTGAGAGAAAGAAAAAAACAAGTACATTATGATGAAAATCAGGATCCAGATTTCTCGGATTCCTCTGATTATCTAGAGCCCAAAAGGCTGACATGTTTAGCTACCTTTAAACTTAATAACTGACTTTTCTACAATCTTTGATTCAGGTAAAAAGACAATCCCAGGAGGAACAAGAACTAGAAGAACAATCCGAAGATGCAGAACTAATGAATGGAATAGAGGACGAGGAAGAAGAAGAAAAGTCCGCGGATAACATAGATGAAATTGAGGATGAACCAGGTAATATAATCAAATTCATTTTACATTATATGGTGAATTATTTATTAACATTTTTTCATGATGCGGAATTAATAGCTTTGGAACAGAAGTTATCCGATTCACCTGAAGAAACAACAAATATGTCGAATAATGAATTAGATGCGTACGTTAATGAAACCATCCGGGATGGAAATAAATGGATTGTGTGCGACACCGATGTACGTGACCTCTTGATAAAATGGAAACAGGAGAAACCGCGACCACGTACTGAGTAAGTAATTTATAAACGCTTTTCTATTCGGCACGTGATAATCCGAAACACACATAATAATAATGTATTATTGTTATCGGAAAATTTTAGTCTGGCGTTTTATGATATTATCGACATCACTCTGGGTTCAAATAGTGATTTTGTTCAATCACTACCAATTGATGCAGTGCAAGATATGAAACAGTCAAAAATGTTTCCCACACCGAATATGGATAATGTGGATGAAATGAAAAACTATATTATTGATTTTATTAAGGTATCATTGTTTTCGTTATTTTTAATCAAATATTTTGTTGCTTTACACTTAAAGTCTCATTATTTAGACAAATGAATTCCGTAATTTCGTGGACGAGAGTTATTTGAAAACACGAGTCAATAATAAAACAAAATTCGTATGGGACTATCTGAACATTCTGTAAGAATCAAGGATCATTTTAATAAATATTTTTCTTCGACTTTTCTCGTGCTCAATTTTTTTCTTTTCTTAGCGTCGAGTCGTTTGAACGAGACAACGACCTCACAAATTACAATTTGTCCGAATTTGGATATCGCGAAATATTTTTTACCCCTCTGACCCGTAGTCTTTTTCGTGGCACACACCGGGAGATGAATATTTATTTGTAGGTATATTGCGTTTTAAATTTTTTGATAACATTTTTTTTTCAACAAAATTGTAATGTACCGGATGTGCCTTCACCTAGCGGTGAGAAATATTTGTTTGCTTCAACAGAAGACCGTAATCGAGAAAAAAAAGATGGCGAAGACCGTAATTTTGGCCGCAAAATCGATATTATATGGTCTATGAAGCCAACCGATCTGGAATTCTCTATTGGAGAAATCAGTGGCCCACCGAACCAACTCGATCATTCACATTTCTTTAACGATAAGATTAAAATTGCGAAAATGTTAAAAGTTATTATAAATAGGATTGTGAAGAAGTATGGTGGAACGGGCATGGATTTGAGTTTAGTAAAGTTGTATGGCCTACATGTGTATTGTAAGTATTGCTAACTTTGAAAATTGTCAATATTATATATAAAACTGACATTCTCTTCTTACAGATAATGAAGTAGTTGTGTACGAGATGTCGATTCCGTTTCGCGGATTGTACATTTTTTGTGAAGTTATGCGATCGAAATTGCCCACGAATGAAGTTGAGATCGGTTTGTTATTACGATCTGTGTCGGTGTTCCTTAAATTCAAGGTTTGTTTTTACTGACGCACGCACGTTTATTAATTATAAATAAAGGAATCTTTTGCCTTTTACAAACTTTCAATTGTTGTCATTAGGAATTGCTTGGAAAAAGTTTAGCCGACCTGAGAAAATATATTCAGGATGCGTGTACCCGTACACCCGATAATAATGAAAATGCACACCTGTTCATTACACTAACTGATTTGACGCCCGAAAAAAAGAAAGTACAACTAGTAGACGGAAAAAAAAAAAAGTGACCTTGACATTCTGTCAAAATGTTTTTAATAAATCATTTAATGAGAACGTTTTCTAATACTGCATAAGTAATTTAAATGTGTATTGACATTGTCAAATTGTAATGCGATCATATAAACGTTTTGGATCATTACATAGTATGCATCAAAATAATGATAAAGATCGTGAAAATGGTTATATATTCGCGGTTTATATGCGATGGAAGTTACACGAAATGATCAGGAGACAGTACGCAAATAGGTAGGAATAAATATGATATACGTGAACCAGACTACATACGATTCGCAATTACTTTATTTTATTATAGAGTAATGAGGCTCCGTCTCTACGAAAAAAACATCTCGAATGCGGTGACTAATGCAAGTAATAAATTTGCAAATACATTGTTATTATACAGAAAATTATTCTTCGGGGGAAAGAGGAGGGTGAACAAAAATATGGATCCAATCTTCATTGGGATTCTCGGGAAAATAAACAGAAATATCATTTTCTGGTTGCATACGTCTTCTTTCTGCACTAGTTGGGTAAATTTGTCGGAGATGAAAGTTATTGGGGCGGACTGGGAGATGGGATGCCAACACGTTCCTAGCTCTAGTTTCGAGATCGGAGACCCTATCATTCTTGGAAATTTCGATTACAAAAATTACATTCCTATGTTGACTATTACGGAAACGGAGGTTGAGGCTGATAATATCATCATTATTGGTGTCAGTCATATTGCGTATTCTGTTAAGAGAAAGGATCCCCAATAAGTAGAAATTCATTCACACAATCGGACTCAACTTCTTGTAACTTCACAATTGACGAGATACATACCTGGTAAAATTTACAGAAACTTGTGGAGCTGGGAATCTTTGATTCAAAGTAGAGCGTCAGAAAACTCTGCTTATTTATAACACTCATTATGTTCAACCTCGAACCTGCTAGAAGAAAAATAATATTGCGTCGTTCGGTCATCTGCTAATATGCTTCCGAAAATTAACGGATTTCTTACCTTGTGTAGCTAGTCCATAATGCCAAGAACTCAACAAATAAGTGACTTATGAATATATTACGCAATTTTTGGGGGGTTTTCATTCCCTTTAGGGTTGAGATCGCTCCTGCAAGACGAAAATTGGTTAACGCAACGACGATCTGGAATCGCGGAAATTTCGAACCCACATAACTTGAGGTTTGCGTTATGAAAATTAATAGATATTGTCGAGCCTTTCCTCCTATAACGTTGTGAAGTTTCGTTTTCGCATGTTCTTGTCGTAAAAGCATGTGTGAAAGAAAGACATTTTCCTATGTAAAATAAAGCGAAAAAATAACAATTATCTATGTAGTACAGTTACGCAATTACGCATGTTCCACAAACTTCTATCTCTGATTCGCAGATTTAAGACACATGACATCGCTCTCCTGAGGCCCCGCAATAGGCTTTGCCATATAACGTGATGTAATTTCGCAGTTACGATGTAGTTATAATTATTTTCAGATTGAATTTGCTATATTCACTTAATTTATATATTTATGCGTTATTTCCGCATTAATTATATTACCATATTATAACAATCATGACGAGTAATACTAATAATAAAACTGATCAAAGCGAAATATTTGCCCCTTTTTATGAAGTGCTTTTATATAAAAAGGATATAATAGCAATTCAAGAAAAACTTGGTATCAATAGTAATACATTAAAGCAAATAGAACACGAGCCCAATGGAAAAACACTTGATGATTCATATGAATTGTTGTTAGAATTGGTGGGAAATTTAATACCTATACAGGGGAAACTTGGTATAGATATCAATCCCGTTTTAGAAGCGGAACTTAGAAGGGATAAAGCCTCTTCAGATAAACCAATTAGATTATTTGATTTGCTTTTATCTTTAGAAGATGATATAGTGGTAATTCAGGATAAACTCGGTATTATTGGTTATTCTAATCAAGAAAGGGCAGAAGAAGTTGATGAGAATGTAAGAGCACAACTACAAAAGCTTGAGGAATTTCACGGTCCATTAGAAGATGATCCAGGTGTGATTTTACCGAAATATGGTGAAATGGGGGTAAAGAAAATTCGGTTTACTGGAGAGGGACTTCCTCTATTTCCAAATCTTACTCCTCAACAATTGCATGAAATTTTCGTAAAAAATTCAGCTAGCAACAATCAGTACCCATGTCTAGAATCAAAAGTAAAGAAGGGAAAATTATCACGGAAATATATACGTCACAGCAAATAAAAATTCTTTGTCTGAAATTAGCTGGAGATTGTCGAATACCTGATTACCTGCTTTATTCTTCTATAGTTAGAATAATACGCATTCTGCGATATTATTTAATGATGTATAATATAACCGAAAAAAATAACTAATAATTAATTATCTGCCTAAAGCCCTTGCCACGATCGATGTAATCCTTGATCAATGACTCGAGCGAGACTATTTAATAAATTAATTCGTTCTGGGTTAGTTGGACCTGACACTTCTCTGATATAATCCCTGAATGTAGAAATTGGAATAAGTGGAGGTAAATCAGAAACCGAGAAATCATCATCGGAATAATCAGGATATTCGATTTTAATTTTAGGATTAAGTTTTTTCATCGCTTCTTCGCTAATCCCTTTACACCCCTCCAAACTAAGATATTTCAAATTAGTACAGTTGTGGGCTATTTCCTCGACAGCTTTATTACTGATCGAACAATCACCAAGCTCAACATGTCTAAGTTTTGGGCACGAGCGAGTAATTTCAGTGATACATTGATTAGTGAGACATTTACATGAATTAAGACTTAAGTGTATTAATTTTGGACAAAATTTTGCAATTTCTATAATTGGTATATTAGTAAAACCATAACTTCAATTAAGAATAAGAAAGCGTATATCTGGGCATGAATGCAGAATTGCACTGATCAAAGCATCTGAGATTTTTAAACCTTCCAAACTAAGATATACCATCTTTGAACAATAGAGTGGCTTTATCTTTTCACACATAACTCTTTTAAACTTCAATAATCGCCAATAAAGATCTCTAGATGAATTGTTATTATATGTGTTTCCTTGACAATCTATGAAAAAATCAATATCTCGCCATAGAATAGGAGCACCGCAGTGATACAAAAGGTGGTTGACGAATAAAACAGGATAAAGGCATCGATCAATTTTTAAAAAATATAAGATCTGTTCTAGTAATTCCGGTAAATCAAAAATATTTAGTTGCGCCATTCTCAAGTAATGTATTATTATATATATTTAACCGAAAAATAACTAATGTTCGGATAATTAATTACTGATTCTCTTCGTATGTTTATTTATTAATAAACATGAGCAACCAAAACTATTTGCAAGAAAAACTCCCCAATAAAGTTCTTGTTAACATTTTTAAAAATATAAATTTCTTTTGAATCCCATGTTGACTTGTAAAAAATTATATTTTTTGGTAAACGACTCTATAAACAAAGCGATCTGGTTAATTCATATTTACGGGAGAGCATATAGTTTATTTTACGCTATTAAGCTTGGTCCATCCTTCTTAACAATTGAAGTTATAAAAAATATTTTAAATCAAGGGGTATCTTATCCAGATATTTTATCCAAAGACTCTGTTTAGAAAATTATGATCCTGAATTATCACAATTAAAATTATGATATATTAATGATGAAAATTTTAAAAAGAGTTTTAATACTATTACAAAACCTTTTGGAATTGATTTGGATATCAAAATATTTAAGTATTTATTAAATGTTGCAAGAAAAGAATTTAAAGATCTTTCTTTGTATGGAGATGATATGGAATTATTCTGTCTTTTATGTAAACCAGATATGATTCAAAAAAATATGGATAAATTAAAAGATTTAATTTTAAATAAAAAATTCATCCCGTTTCCTCCAAGACCTTATAAAGAAGATATTTATTCATTCGTAGATGGGTATGAAAATAACACTCAACTTCTGATGATTACACAACTTATATCATCTAACAAAAATTTTGTGAATATTTGGAAAAGTATTGGGTACTATGAAATAATTGATCTAAATGATCTTTTAAAGAAACGAGTATAAAAAATTTAAAAAAAATGGTAGCTCGTGAAATATGAATTTAAAAAAAAATAAATAATAAAATAAATAAAGTTTTTAAGATATAAGATAATTAAGATTTAAATATATGTAAGATAATTAAGTATATGTTCTTTATTCATTTATAAATATTCTTTTTTTAATAAAGTTTTTTATATTTATAAGATTTTAATAATCGTTATTTTGTATATGTTCTATGTCAAAAACGTTACATATTAATTTGATAATTTCTTTTTGATCTGTATCATTATCTATGTTGTTACTTGGTACCAAAGCATTATGTATTTTTAATAAATTATTATCTGAATTTATACTCAATATTGTGCATATTTCTGTCACCAACATATCAATCTTTTTTTGTTCTTCGATCGATTTCTTGAACGAATCAAATTCTTGTCTTAGTGATTTCACCTCTTTTTCATACAAACTTTTGATTAAATTAATATCTTCTTTCAATAATTTCAATTCTTGTTTAACAAGTTCAATAGTATCATGTTTCGAACCTTCTCTATAAACACGTAATACATATTCATAATAATTTTGTGTTTTATTTATGTAATCTAAATTAGAATAAGAATTTTTATTTATATTTTGAAGAATGTCTAAAATAATTTCTTTGTTTTGCATTGCTCTATCATAAGCTATTGTTAATAATATCTTTGCATCACCTTTTTTCCAAATCACATCATTAGAAGACGTTTTATTACTTCCGTAAAAATAAGATATTGACATCAATTGATATTTTATAGGATTGTTAATATATCTACTATGCGAAATTTTACAAATTCGATATGGAAAATACATTTCGTTTAATTTTGTTATAGGATTCTGAATTTCGTACCCGGCATCATTTTTATCTTTAATTTTATTTTCTATTAAATATGAAAAATATTTTTGAATCTCTTTAATATAATCAGTATTGGTATATTTGTTTACCCCTCTGTCTGTCAAATAATCAAAGGCTTTTTTATTTTTCTTTTCGTAATCAATAGATTGGTTATGAATAATAACATTTTCTAAATGATTCCATGTTACTATATCTTTTGAAACATTAATATCGCCTCCATTCATATAATAATTTATTATTAATTCTTGATATTTTTTTGGATTGGTGGTTAAATTTGATTTACAGATATAATGTAATTTATGTACAAATAATATATCCGAAAAACTAACTAATGGGTTTTCTATTGAGTAATTCATCTTTCAATCGAAGAGAATTTTATTCCTTGTCCAGGTTCTTTCTGATTAGGTTTTACTGCACTGTCTGATTCTTTTGTTCTTAAGTATTCGCAATATTCATTTACAGTATCAAAAAAACTTTTTAAATACCTTTTTTTATACTCTTCACTAAAAAAATCATAATACCCATTGGATGATTTGAATTTATTAATATGATACAGCAACGAAGTTTGAAAAATCCTATCTAAATTTTTATCTGATGTTTTATTGTTCCATAAATCCATTAACACATCTTGAAATAAAGATTTTTCATATTTGCTATTATTAACCCATCTTAAAAAATATATCCTTTCCACATGTGTCATTTTATCAAAATCGATTAACGGGTATTCTTTTTTATTTAAAGTAGTATAATATTTTTTATTTATCTCTAATAATTTGTAAGACCACTTCCAATATCGAATCGAGATCCGTGTATATATTTTGAGTATAATTCACCTGAAGCTTTTCACAAATTGCTTTAACTTTAGTTTTTATCAATTCGAGATCTATATCTACAGGATTCTTTGATAAATAATTACAATAAATATCAATTATACCAGAACATTTTGATAATATTTCGTCACCTAATACAAATGTGTTATCTTTTATATATTTATGTAATTCCATAATCAAATTAACAAGTTCTTTACGTTTATGTAGTTTTTTATCTTCATCATACCAAATTTTTTTAGTGTGATTGATAAACACATCTAACTCTAAAGAATTGATTTTTCTATCATAATAAAAAGTACTAATAAAACATTTTCGAAATGCTTTTTTAAAAATATTTGTCTTTCCTTCAACTATAACATTCATCGATATTAATTGTTCTATCAACCCCATTACCGATATTTTTCGAGTATGTAATATGTTCAAATCAAATATCGGATATTGCTCGTTGAGTAACATTATTTATTACTAATATGTTGTGAAAATTTAAGAATCGATTTGATGTTTTCAACCACATCCTTCCTTTTTTTTATAGCTAAATTTTTACATATTTCCTTGATAATTTCTTCAAATTTAAATTGATCATATTTTTTCAATTTATTTT